TTCTCACTTAGTAGTAAGTTAGGATGACCACTGGGTCCCACCTTCACAGAATCTGAATCCTTCAAAAGTTCTACAGGTATTGAATCAGACAGCCTAATTTGAGGACTACTGTGTTATCTAATCTCCCCAACTAGATTATAGCCTCCTTGAGAGTAGAGATCAAGATCTCAGGTTTATCTCATCAACATAATGCATTTACAAGATTAAAGGAGGAGCCCAATTGTTTCATTGTGCAAGCTAAACAAATGGCAAGAAAACTCTAGTAAAGTGCAGGTTTTTTCAGTAGGTGGTTTAAAAATAAAACAAGGAAAGGAAATGGTAGCTATGTAAAGTAGGACTTAATGAAAGCATCTTAATTTCTTCATGGAATAAGTGAAAGCCACAGGAAATGAGATTTGGGGGCTTAGCTAGGTTGTAGGGCCCATAACTCAGAACCCTAGCATGAAAATGCTGCTGAGGCAGAGGTGTTTCTTATGTTTTATATCTTCTGGGTTAAACCAGTTAGGGTACGTCCTAACCGAGCGTGGGTTAAGAAAAAGGCCTGAAGCCATACAACCCTGCTCGCTCGGAACATCGCTGAGAGTCTTCCTTCTCTGTGATAGCAGACATTGGAGAACAGGTCCGCTTCCTTTCAGATGAGCTTGCAGGTCGAGGCCAGCGGCTGGTTGAACCCACTGTGCTGTCCATACAGAAGACTTCTTCAGTACGAGCTGATGCTTGCAAGGCAGCAATCATGCGCCAGAAGAATCACATCTGTCCCCCAGTGGAAGAGAGCCCAGCTCGAGGAACTGGGGCAGCCTCTCTAAATTTCTACAGACTTTCGATTAGACACCAAGTATAAGGCACATGGAAAGAATGGGACAGGGCAAAAACCTATACAAGGATGTCGCAGAACACATCCTTTGTCTCTAGAAGATGATAGGACTGTAAGTAAGCCTAGGAAGCTAAGACAAAAAATTACCATTTATGATGTGTTTTATAAAAAAGAGAAACAGGTGAATCCTGTAAGAGTTTAAAGGTAGAGAGAAGTATCCAGAAAGACCAAATTGAGAAGGAGGGGTTCTGAATGGTAACAGTGTGATTTGAGGTAGAAGCTGGGGGATGGAATTTATGTTCAGCAATAGAACTATGCAGCCCGCGATGGCCACCAAAACCCAAGTGCAACTCCAGCTTATAGAAATAAGAGAGGCAACATTAGCTATTTTTAATTCCTCAGGCAGGTTGTCCATTGGCCACACATGTATTGAGCATTACTGTTGGCCACCATGTGTGAGGCATCACCTGAGGGATAACGAAAGAGGGATCTAAAGCATGTTTTGCTCCCTTCAGGGTTTATGTTCGTGTTGGGGGAGATGACTAATACATGTAAAAAAATTAGTGAGAAATATGAGATGAAATGGATATTTATGCTACTCTGTATGATCAGACTATTATAGGAGTTATAGAGAAATAAGAGAGGGAAATCGGGTTGAGTGGTTCAGAGGGCAAGGAATTTGAACAAGATCCTAAAGGAGCCAGAAGTAGGACCTGTGATGTGCTTCCGGGAGTCTGAAATTTCCCCCCCAAATGGTTTGTTGAGCTGTATGAATACACAGTTTTAGGGGAGAGGTTTCACACTTAAATTTGCAAAGCATTTTCTGTTCCCACCATATTTTAAGATCATCAATATCTACATGGATATGAAAACAGAGTTTGGGAATTAGAGTACAGCACTTGGAGGGTACAGTGAACAACCTTGTCTCTTACGTGTGGCACCTAATAAGTCATTAAGACACAACTGAGCTCAATGGAAGAGGGGGAATATTGGCCTGAACTCTTTGCTATAGCCCTGAAGTTTTTATATTTGGTCTCCTAAGTACATGTTACAAATTTATTCAATAAGGGATAGCATCTTACTGTAAATATTGTATGGCTTTCCTTTCCTGCCTGTTAACTAAAGGGGTAAGATAATTGAAAATAGATTTCAAATGTAGGGCTACTCTATAAGAATCAAACAGAAAAAAAAGAAAGAAAAAAAAAACAACAGATCCTATATCGAATGCTCAGATGGTACCTTATATTCATCCTTTCTTGCCCTCAGCTGTTGGTAATGTCTAGGCGAGGTCAATGGAGGAAAAGACTGAGCTTATTTTCTCAGTAGAACCAAGATCTTTGTCAATCTCAGCAAGACTTTCATGAGATAGAGATGTGCCCCTGTTTTAGATACATATTGCTATTTTGCTTTCTATGCATTGGTACCATTCCTGGCCTTTCCATCTTCCTTCACTTCCCGTCTTGAACTTCCACTCAATACTGGGGAGCTAATAGTTGCCTGTGTCTACTGTGCTATTTCTTGGCCCCACATTTTTGTTTATGCTCTCTTGTCTGCAGTGTCTTGCTCATCTTTCTTTGGCTTGGTTGGTTCCTATCCTATCTGTAAGATCCAGCTCTGTCGTCCTCTCTTGTATGGCCTTCCATGAATCCTCTGAGATGTTCCTGTCCTTTGTGTGTGTCTCCATCGCTCAATTTTAACCTCGATTTTAAATTATTTGAGCACAGAAAAGGTATTGCTCTATCGCTAGCAACTAAATAACAGTTCTGGCAATAGAATAAACTGCTTCATGAATGGGGTACATTCCATAGGACTCCGGGATTCTGGCTTTACTGGTTGGTCCAATGGTGCTCTTGAGCTCTCAGTTGGTTTGTAGAGGATAGGAGTCGGTCAGGATCTTTTGCATTAGCTCTGGTGCCTGTATTAAAGTAAGAGCAGAAAATGTTGAGAAGGGGAGGAGATGTATGAAGACACATGTAAAAAGAACCGTAGCGAGACTTTTAGGCCTTAATGATTAAGAGTGGGAAAGGTGGAAGCTAAATGGGAGCTAAGGGTTTCAAGCTTGTGATGCTTGAGATAAGGCAGAGGAAGGGTATGGAAGGGCTATTTGTGGTTTTCATTCTTCAGTAGGCAGCATTGTTCCCTGACTCTCTGTAATCAATGGTGTAGTCTTCGTGTGCTGTGTTTGGTTGTGAAGGGACTCTGTTAGCATTCATTATTGATGATAGTCCCAGAAATGTTGAGTGGTTTTACATTACCATTATACTGATGAAAATATAATGAGAGTTTAAGAGAGAAGGAATCACCTAAGATTACTATAGCTGCAAAGCCCTTTTTCAGTCCTCTGGGGTTTGAGGGTTGGACAAGAAATCCACATGGGAAATGCCTCTAATGGCAGAGAGCTTTTGGAAAACTACTCAATAGCACGGACAAGCAGCCACTCTGGTTGCACGCCTTCTTAGGACACCGTTTCCCCTTTGTTTCCTGCAGGCTCCACCAAGTCGTAAGCATCTCCTCCCCTCAAAATGCGCTATTTAAATATCCATGTATGTAGCAGTCTTGTTTAGGAATAGAAAAACAAAACTTACAATTAAACAATCAAAAGACAACCAATCCGATTTTTAAATGTGCAAAAGAGTGGGATTTTATTTCTCAAAAGGAGGTATGCAAGTGGACTTCAGAGAAGTTCATAGAAAAATGGATGAGAAGCTAACAGAATTTTCCTACAGACTCTTTGAAGCCCCCTCGAATAAATGGCCAATAACCACATGAAAAGATGCTAAATATCATTAGTTTTAGGAATTTGCCTGTCAAAACACAGTGAGATACCACTTTCTTCCCACCAGAATGAGTGCCATAAAAAGATGACCAGCATGGTGGGAAACGTGGAGAAATTGTACCTACATACCTTGCTGGTGGATGTAAAATGATGCAGCCACTTGGGAAGTAGTACCTCAGAAATGATCCAGCAGTTCTGGATCGTGCGTGCGTGCGTGCGTGCGTGCGTGCGTGTGTGTGTGTGTGTGTTACCTCAGAAATGATCGTGTAGGGCAAGGTCTCACAGAGGTCCTGTGTGTGTGTGTTTGTGTGTGTGTGTGTGTGTGTGTGTCCGTCCTCAGAAATGATCCAGCAGTATGTGTGTAGGGCAAGGTCTCACAGAGGTCCTAAATCGAGCTTCCATGCCTCAAGGGGACAGACATGCTATCCTCCGAGAGCAGATGTTTGCCCCTGCCAACCTGGAAGCTCCACCTGAGCCTCAGGGATCAGGGTTTTTTTGCTGTGAATTTTTCACCACGACTCCGGAAGCTTAACATCTGGGTCCCACTGTTCTCCCTACTCATTAGCCATAGGTGTTAGCCAAAAGCCAGGCCAGATTGCTGCTAGCAAGGTGAGTGTGCAGCTTTCGGCCGACCTACCCGCTGGTCTCCCTTGCAGATCTCTATTCCTTGGCCCATCTTGTGTCCTCCACGGGGCCTGCACTTGTCAGAACCTCCCCTGCTCGGCAGATGTTCCATTTAAATGGTGCTTCTTCCTGGAATCTTTAACCACCACTGAAAGCAATCATTTCCCCATCTGAACTCCTACAACACTTCACATTTGAAATGATTAATTTTGTACCCTTCTAAGTGATAAATCCCTTGACAGCTTGATTCTTCTGTTTTCTCAGCTGTTTAACAAGAGAACTATTGAATTGAAAGATAATCAAGTTTTTCTACACTTTTTAAGGCCCATATGTGTGTGTGTGTGTGTGTGTGTGTGTGTGTGTGTATTTGAATTGAATATAGATTAACTCACTTAATAGTTTCAGGAAAACTGGTCAGAGGGCTATAGTTAAAAATCTTGTTGAAAGTCTTTTAAATCTGTATTGGCATACAAATAAATTTCATCCCATTGAGAAAACTTGGAAACTACAGTCGCTCTATGGGGGAAACACAAGGCTTTCTATTCTTATAAAGAGTTACAGTCTTGGAAACCCAGGGGAGCGATTCTACTCTGCCCTACAGGGTCTCCTTGAGTCAGGACCGGGTTGATGGCAGTGAGATCCTGCAAACCACAGAGGCTTAAGCTTTGTATTTCCTCCTGGAACTTCAGTTGAGGGAAAGACCTGGGGCTTCCTTTTTCACCAGATTGACACTCATTTGTAACCAATTTGCTGCTCCTTGTGTTGACTCTCCTCCTTCTCTTGCAGGGGGCTGTTTTTAGTCTGGAGCCAGAGGACGAGGAAGACCCTGGAGTCACTGCGGAAGACAGCAATGACATTTATATCCTGCCCAGTGACAACTCGGGACAAGTCAGTCCTCCAGAGTCTCCCACTGTGACCACTTCTTGGCAGTCCGAGAGCTTACCTGTCTCGCTGTCAGCCAGCCAGAGCTGGCACACGGAAAGCCTGCCGGTGTCCCTCGGTCCCGAGTCCTGGCAGCAGATCGCAATGGATCCTGAAGAAGTGAAAAGCTTGGACAGCAATGGAGCGGGAGAGAAGAGTGAGAACAACTCCTCCAATTCTGACATCGTGCACGTGGAGAAAGAAGAAATCCCTGAGGGCATGGAGGAGGCTGCTGCCGGGCTGCAGGCAGCATTCCCCGAGACCCCTGAGCCTCTGCTTCCACATAGCACTGCCACTACCCTGCTGCAGACTGCGGAAGCCCACCCAGGAATGGCTGCAGCTGAGAAAACCAGCCCCGCCACATCTTTATTTGTGGAGTTTGATGAAGAAGAGGTGAGAGCTGCCACCACGGAGCCGGGTCAACTCGGGGCGGGGGCAGAAGTGGAGTTGGGCCCCGCCCTGGAGCCCACCCCGACCCCACTGAGCGCCCTTGAGAGCAGAATCAGGAAAGAGGCTCTGACTGAAGAGCTGTCCGGGGCTGCAGATGAGAAAGCCATGTCGCTGTCAGAGGGCAAGTCCATACTGCTGTTTGGAGGGGCTGCTGCGATGGCCATCCTCGCGGTGGCAGTTGGGGTGACACTGGCTCTGAGAAAGAAATAGCCGGTTTTTCAGAAGAGAAAGAAGACAAAAGGGCTCAATGTTTTTGTGCACTGGCTGGAACTTGACCCACTGGTGGCTGCCTGGAGGGACACTTGTAGAACCTGGGTCACCTAGGGCTTCCATTCAACAAAGTCCTGGATGGAGCCACACCCAAGGGCAAAGGGAGTTTGGCATTCGATTACGCATCCCCGGGGCTGTGGGCTCCTGCTGGCTTCAGACCCTTGGCAGTGCAATGTTCCTGGTGAGCAGGGCTCCCTGGCCGTGGCGGGAATGGCGTTTTCACAGTTCCTTGTGAGAGGCTGTCTGTGCATTATAGGATATTGAGCAACTTCCTGGCCTTACCCACCACTAATGCCAGTAACACAGCCCCCCCCCCCCAACTCCTTAGTTATGGCAACCAAAAATATCTCCAGACATTGCCAAATGTCCCCTGGGGGGCAGGAGTCCCTGCCAGTTCGGGAGGGAGAGGGTGCAGGTGGAGGGTAGGAGGACTAGGGGTGGGTGGGTGGGATTTCTAGGCAAGAGGGCTTAGCTGTGGGCTCTTCTACTGCTGATCCCTTTGGAATTTCAGCATTCCTGGGGAACAAGCTGGATTTGTAGCTGCTCTTTTTTGCCCCTTCTCTCTCCCCTGTAGCATGAGAGGTTCTCCCTTCTGTGTCAGCGGCCTCTCTGATTCCGCTCCTCTCACCAGCTTCCTCGGGAGAGCCTGGCAGGGCCTGCTCTCTATTCTTGCTCAGAACACCTGGGAAAGATGCTGCGGCCTTGAGGAAGCCAGAAAACCACTCAAGTAAAGAGGCCTCGGGTCCCCTGCCCACGAGAGCCGAGGGCAAGCTACCCCAGGCAGGGAGAGACATCTTGTGTAGAGGCAGGAGGATGACCTGAAATGTCTGTGCTCACCCCACCTACCTTAGGGTCATCTGCCAGCCGGGCAGCATTTGTAGCATTGGAGGTCACTGCTGGTAACCCTGGGGTCGTACACCCCATGTCCCTCAGCTCTCTCCCAGTCTATCCTCAGTCATCTGGACTTCGTGCTCTGTGGTCAGGATCTTCAAATGGGGGTGTACAGGACCTTTTGAAGCATAACTTCTATTACATAAGAGAAAGTCTCCTAAGAATCATCAAAATTAAAAGTGGGAAAAGAGGCTCCAGTCTCAACCTCGGATTTCTCGTTTGAGCTATCAGAGTTCACGGATGGCCCCTCCTCGTGACCTCGCCGTGGGCCAGGGAGAGCCAGGGTGATGCACCCAAATGAGCCTGTGTCCTCTCGTCCCCGGGGACCGCAGGGCCACTGGGTGGGCACACGTGGGTGACAAAAGGTCACTCAGATTTTTCTCAGTTAATGTAGTAAATTACTTTTAGATTCTGGAATCTATAATAAAATTATTTTACCTACCCTGATCACACCCCAACTTGACGTTTTAAATGTGCATTTGTTTTATTTTTTAGGATGAAATCTCCCTAAAGCAATACTATTATAAGGCGGTCAGAATTATTCTGAACCTGCGCTGCCTGTTATAGCTCTCGGATGCAGTGTTCATGTTCTGAGTCTCAATGCCCCGCCTGGGGAGTGGTGTTTGGCATGAGCGTGGCATGTTTGGTGTGCGCAATGGTGAGCAGAAGTGGGGCTCGTAAAGCACCCCACCCCTTGTATTTTAATTGCTGTGACGTGTGTTTTGGGTTGGTTTTTGTTTGTTTTTTGCTTTTAAGACAAAGTATTTTCCTTCCAGTGTTGGAACACTTTTAAAACCATGGACCTCAGCCCCTTGACAGTGGCTGAGCACACTTCAGCCGTCACAGAAGTCGGGCTGGTTTGTGAGTTGCTCCAGGCTGAAGGCTAGGTCTTTGGGACTGTGTTCTCCACAGACTGACAGAATATAAGGAGATGTGACATTGATGGTGGTGCTTGCAAGCGGCTTTATCTCCCTTCTTTGAGCATTAACACAAAGTATTCCGGCTGGGTGGTGGTAAGTGGAGACTCTTCTCCATCGGCGTCTTCTAAATCGGGTCTTCTTAACGTGCTGTTGACACGGAAGCCTCGTGTGCCAGAACAGAACTGTACTCATGCGGTCCTCACGGGCCCTACAAGCTAGCTGAGCTCCCGAAGTCGCTCACCAGACCTTCCCTCTGAGAGCCTCTGGACCGACCTTTTGGCTGGCGGCTGTACGTGTCGGCGCTGGACACCAGGCCCTCAGTCTGCCTTCAGCTCCCTGTCTGGCCGAGTGAGGACTGTCCTGCAGCGCTCCTGCCAGTTGCTGCTGCCTTGTAAAATGCTTGCTCAGCCCCTCGTCCTCTTTGGGTGGAGGCTATTGGTAGGAAGCCATTTCTTCTTGTCCCCTGATTCTTGTAACATGGAAATCCAAGGTAAAGGGGACTTGAGAATGAATCTGACTTGTGTGTGGAACACAGATGTCAGAATGAAGGGTTCATTTCCCATTTCTTGTTCCGCAGTCTGTGAACTATGAAAGACACGTTTTTGTTAAAAAGTCCTCTAGAATTCTTCTTAGCTGCCCTACTGAATGTAGTAATTTGTGATCATTTGGCAAAAGGGTGAAGTTCTCTGGGGAAAAAGTAATGGAGTTGAGGAATGCCAACTGATGACGTAGGTCCTCTCCGCACTAAAGTGGAGGGCATTCTGGGCCTCCAGAAATCAGTCCGTGCCTACAGTGTGCCTTAGGGGGACTCTCCTGACCACCGGTGCCCTTTAGAGACCTTCCTAGTAAAGGAATGTCACTGCTGGCCTTCTGGTCCCCACCCCCACCCCCCAACCTACACAGTGTCCTGACATCACCTCTTGCCTGCATTTCTGTCCCATCTCTCCTGTCACATGCACCCACTGCCTAGGCTTGTCCCCAGGGTTGAAGCAGAGCTACCGTTAGCTTGGTGTGAAGGAGATCTATGTTCTCAGCCTTTGTGCTAATGGTCTCTATGTAAAAGTCATGCCTGCTCCTCGGCATCTTCACTAAAGGCGTGTCACCTGGACAAATGCAAGGGGACTTTTAAAGTTCACGTAAAAATAGCATGAAAAGATAGTGGAAATTTTCCATGAACTTGTTGAAGTGCCCCTCTTCAGAGGAGCCATAGAATTTCGCTTGTTGGATTTTCTAGAAACGGGTGGTAGGATCATTTCCTTCTCCTTCCCTTACTGCATGTCTGCTCACAGATGACACCTCAAAGACTGAGGTGGTGATCACATCTGTTGTAGACTCTCCGGTCATTTAGAGACAACTTAAAGCCCACCCGGCTCATTTACCCATAAGCATGCTCTCATTTAGTCTAGGCAACATATTTGATGTCAGCGAAGTGTTTCCTCTTCCCTGGAATAACAAGATCTGCCGTTAATGATAACCTCTTGTTAAGTCATTCATTGCTGAGACGGTTCAACAGATGAGTCTGCGAGTGGGGTGTTTTTTCCAATTAGAATGCCGACAGGCCTCGGGTTCATGGCAACCCCGTTCCTTCTTGCCTTTTAATGTGAGGTACATTTTAGGGCTTTGAGCCAGTGACTCCCCTTTGACCTGCTGAGGATTTGTATTCCCGCCCGAGAGATTCTGAATCCGTCCCTACAGTTTATAGTAGCCCCAGGTGATTCATTCAACAAGAATCTGGCGAATTGTTAAAAGGTACACTCTTCTGGGGGGTGGGAATCCCAGTTCTCAACAGGAGAGTGAACCCGAATGAACCTGCTCAGACCCCTGGTCAGTTTATTTTCACTTTGAAATGACTGAACCAGAACCTCCGGGCAGCAAATTCTTCATCACAATCCCCTTCACTTGCATGTGTGGCTTTTAAGTCATGAGCCCTTTCTTGCACTAAACCCACTGCCGACAAGTCGGTTCTGATTCATAGCGAACCTCCCTAGTGTTAGTTTCCTAGGCTGTAAAGCTTTATGGGAACAGACTTCCGCATCTTGCTTCTGTGGGGCAGCTGGTGGGTTTGAGCTCTTGCTGTGCCCTGACTGAAGGATGTAAAACCACCACACGCACCTCTTCCACCACCACACCTAACAAATTTGACTTGTCCACATAGGGATGGCTCTCATTGGTTAACTCCTGAGACTGTCTAGCCTTATCCCAAGAGTCTTGTGTGTGGGTAATTCTATTTTTGTCAAATATTAATTGGGCATCTGAAATGTGCCAGGGATTGTTTGTTTTTGGACATACTTTACACCACTTTCGTAGCTCTATACTCCTTTTATTCCCAGGTCACACACGGAGGAAACTTCATGTTGGCTGTGACTTAGCTTGAGATGCAAGGCAGTGATTCAAATTTTTCTGACTCCAAGTCTAGTGCATTCCCTGTTCGCACTCCTTTGTGACCCGCCAAGCACTCTGGGCCACTGCACTCCGGAGGCCCCACCCCACCCCAGCATCCGCAGGCAGAGCACCGTCCAGTGTGTATGGAGGGGAAGAGGTTGCTCAGCAGACAAACTCTGGTGAAGGTCTATTTGGGGCCGCTCCCCGCTTCTCATTGTTCCAGACATTTTCTGTAGGTATTGAACGTGGTACCTTGTCCTTCAAGAATTACCATCCCTGGTACAGATGTTTCATTAGCTTTCTTGGTTAGTGTGTTAGGTACATGCTCGGTGACGGCTGAGTCGGAACCTATTGGATGGCACCTGACAACAGGCAGTCTGGCGCGAGTCCATCCCAAATGCTCAAGTGAGGCAACTGCAGGCGGCGGCACCGGGCTTTTCTTTCTCCTCTCCTGCACCAGAAATTCTGTCCCTACCTTGAGCCTTGGGTGGGGAGGTGGGGCCGAGGGGGAGCCCTCAAGGACAGGTGACAACTTCTAAGTGATCACTTCTAGGATTGACCGGGCAAAGCCATAGGCACAGCTCGCTCCAAAGGGCAAGTGTACCCAATGGCATTCCGTCGACTGAAGAATGCCCATTTCTGGAAATGTAGTGTTTGGTAGTTAGCTGATAGAGTTGGAAGCCCAATCCTGTCTTTCTTTCCCCAAGACGGTAAGCCCTGAGTGCATCCATCCATGTCCAGCGCC